ACTAACCAAAATTCCAGGTAAAATTTCCCGCTGATTTTCGTAAGCTTTTCATGTAGATGGAAGTTAAGCTACATCGGCTGGGTCTTGTATCGTCAAGGTAACCCAAAGCTTACTGTTATCTCCTCCTAATTTGTCTCGGGAATCTTCGTTCGATTTTATGGTCCTTTTCGTGAAATTCCTTACCATGAACTTCGGGTTCCTCGGCGATTGTTGTTGAATGTTTTAGTTTGTAACATGAGCTTTCGTGTATTAGTGTAAAACCCGGAATTGACTTTATCTATTTGGATGAAATTTGCCGATAAATCAGGGAAAATTTTAGAATATTTAGTATTTGAGCAGCATAAAGAAGAGCATAAGTGTATTTTCATTGACATTTAGTTCAGTTGTTGTTGCACTTCCTCTGAGAAATTTAGTAGTTATGTGCGAGTCTCGGCTGGTAGTAATGGGTAGAGATTTGGTTGCTTATTGGTTCAAACAACGAAGTGGATGAACTATGTCAAAGCATATGGAAGAAAACAATGTAATCCCCATTTTATTATTTTTTCCTGATTGCCTTCTTATTCATTAATCATGCCTTTGTAGCTCTTCAAACTCTTGTCTTTCGCGGATGTCCGTTGGAACCTTTATCTCCTGCAGAAGGGTGGTAGAATTCGATTATATATCAAACTTCTTGGGAAATTCAAGGAGCCGATTGTTTGTATCCTATGGTGTTCTGGAAAGCAAGAACTACTATTTTCATAGGAAATCGTTTGGAAACAAGAAGATAGGTTGGTATAAATCGCGGAGGACAATGCAGCCTTTTCTCCTTGCGTCTGCTGAAGACGGAGTGACTGTTAATGGGACTCCTCAGTCAAGAGCTAACGATGATGTTGAGGAGATGAGGGCCAAACTCACTGGATCACTACAAGATGAATACAACTGTGATGAACTCATTCAGTCTTTGCATGATGCTGCCAGAACTTTTGAACTGGCACTTAAAACGAAGATTTCCTCTTCCAAATTACCGTGGTTTTCAGCAGCCTGGCTGGGAGTGGATAGAAATGCATGGGTTAAGACATTTTCTTATCAGGTATGTACCGCTTTAGGTCAACTTCTGTATTTACCATCAATGCATCCGAGTGGTTACAATA